TTACATTGAATGATATTTGTACTATTGTTTGAAGCAACTGTATGCCATATTTTAAAATGAAAATAAACAAGCTGAAAACACTCTAACTGAACAACTTTTATTGCTTTTCTATGGTATTAAGCCTCAAATATCAACTATACATTGGATTGGTTTCTTCTTTAAATAAAAAAAGTTAAAATATGAATGGTATTATAATGTTATACTAAAACTAAAACAATGGAAAAACCCTTAAGATAACATGTAGAAAGAAAAAAACGTATCTTAATCATGCAGAATAACATAAGTGGACTTTGAACGATTAACTGCCGCTTTGAACAATTACGTAATTGTGCAATGCAAAAAAATGCTTTTCTTACTTAGATTTTTTTGTCTTGTTTCCAGCCAAAATATCTTAAAATTCTTAAATCAAGAATGATTAATTACTGTCTTGTCTTCAGAAAAAACATGTCAAAATTAAGTGAGTTTTTACCTGAAACAAGCAAAATAATCTGCCAATGGGGTAAGCAAAATAATTTTGTTTTCTGATTGAAATAAGACTATTTTGTTTACCCCATTGGCAGATTATTTTGCTTGTTTCAGGCAAAAACTCACTTAATTTTGACATGTTTTTTCTGAAAACATGACAATAATTTTTACTTGTCTAGAAAATCATTCTTGATTCTTACATTTTTAGATATTTTGGCTGAAAACAAGACCAAAAAACTAAGTAAGAAAAGCATTTTTTGCAGTGTGGCATCCATAATTGTAATTGCGATTAGAAATTTGATTAATTGTGCAGCCCTACCTACTAGCTAGTAGTTACTCAGCCTCTAGTGTGAATTTTACATCCAAGTTTAAGTATGAATGGCTCCACCTTACCCAGGAGTCACTGACTTTAACTTCTCACTGACTGTAGTGTAGTGTGACTTGCTGCATTGTGATAAATAAGAGACTATTCCCGTGCAGGACATGGATCCTCGTGTGATAGCGTGGAAGGGTGGAGCCGTGCTGGCGTGTTTGGACACCACACAGGAGCTCTGGATTCACCAGCGAGAGTGGCAGCGCTTCGGTGTGCGGATGCTCCGTGAGCGGGCCGCCTTTGTCTGGTGATGTCTTCGTGACGTGGATTTAATCTGCTTGTTTTTATTTTTGGGCATGTCAGTCTGGCAGTATGATGCTATTAACAATGTAAAGGTTGAACAATCATCTTGCAAATAATTTGTTTAGGATGATAATAAATTGAATAGCTGTTTATGAAAAAACCGTGGCTGTTTTCATAACTATTAAGCATTTTTGTATAATTTTAAATTTTCTCAACTCTAACCAGGGAAAAAAAAAACATGCACTGTAACAGTTGATGTAAATTGTTTCTTACAAAAGTAATATGTATTTAAAAGATACTTATTAAAAGTTGTTCTTTATCTTTAAAGTTTTATACAGCAGTTCTGGTCCTGGAATCTGATTGGCTGAGCAACGTTGGTGTAGTAGCATCCCATAATGTAATAAATGCACATAGTGTAATAAGTCATATGTAATCTACTAATTTTCTCAAAAAAATGTCACATTGTGACGGTGTGATAATGCTTAGGCTCATACATTTATTACATTATTAAATTAACTGTGTAGTCTTGTAAGTTAAATGTTATAAATATTAATTGTAATCTAAAGTAAAACAGTATCAGTTAATAACATTGTTGCATAATGTAGCAAGTTATTTTATGAGAAATCTATTACATTATGAACCCCCAAAAAGGATTTCTATGTGGCAACTGCTGAGAAACCATGACACTGTTTACATTTATGCATTTAGCAGACGCTTAAAGCAACTTACAGTAGAGGAACATAAGCAATTTAGAGCCAACAAAATTCGTAATATACAATGCCTTATGTTTATTAGATGGCTAGATTAGTACCAAGGCTAGAGCAGCGGAGTGATTCAGAGATTATTAGGATATTTGTGTGTGTGTATAGGGCATTGCTTTAAGGCAGTTGGAGTGGTTAAGTGCTTGAAGAAATGCTGTGTCTTCAGCTGCTGCTTGAACGTTATGATGCTCTCAGCAGTTCAGGAGGTCGGCAGCTCATTCCACCTTCGATGATCCAATTCAACCATACTAATAAGCAAAAATGACTTTTACATTTGTCAAAAATACAACTTTTTAATATTAAAAACTTAACAAGCAAGCCCATCCCAGATTAGACAAAGTAACGCAGAAATAACATAATGCATTTTCTGTAAAATGTGACTAAGTAACACAATTAGTTACTTTTTAGGGAGTAACACAATAATGTAATGCAAAAGTTACTATCTCCAACACTGACCCGGAGTAAGTCGCTTCAGAAGGAATGCAAGTCAGATGTGTAAATGAATCCAGAACCGGGTTGAGTTCAGCTGTTTATTTGTGACACAAACAGTCAGTGTTTGCTCAAAGCAGAGGTGTTGAGGTTAGCAGCCTGAACTTTAGCCTACATTGTGCAGTGTATGTGATGTTTTACACAAGTTAGCAGACCTTCATTAGGATCCTCTATTCCAGCATAAGAATGCTTCCATAGGCACAGCTGAAGAAATGAAAAGCTTTCTTTTATTAAACCACGAAGAGCTGGATCAGTTATGCCTTCAGTTCAGTTACATGTGCAGGAGATCATATGAATGTTGAAGTGGTCAGAGTCCACGCATCACACTAAACAAGGTCACTGCAAACCAGACAAACCAGCTCAGAGTACAGATAAGGGCAGATTTCATGATTCTGATGCTGATCTGCATAATGAATGAAAATAACAGGCAGGTGTGTTGAAGCAGAGTTGAAACTGAAGCCTGAAGGAAGGAGAACAGCTCAGGAGCAGGTCTGGCTCCATATCTTTTAGGATAAACGCAATAGAAAATAAACACAAAGTCACTTAATAGGACGAGAGATAAGGATTTTTGCCCTGTTTGTAGGATTAAGCCAGGCTGACAGACTTTGCACAAGACGGGAAGTCTGTATTTTCTTCCAGCTGCTCCAGGGTGTTTTTGCAGTAGAAGCACCCCAGCAGCGCTGGGCTCTGGACCTCTCCACTCAACAGCTGCCGATGGAGCTTCTTCAAGTCTCTCGGCAGAACGAACGTCCTGCAGCCTCTGAGCTCGGTCTGCACGCTCTTCTCATCATGCTCCAGGTTGATGACCCAGAACTTGTCCCGGCCGTGTGGGTCATGGGCAGCACTGGTAACGAGGTTGAGGGCCAGGGCAAAAAGATTGCTGGCAGAAGCTGAAACTGTGTCATCTGGCATGCCAGGAACTAGTTTGGATTTAAGTTCGTCTGCAAAGAGAAGTATTCAAAAAATAAATAATAATAATTAAAAAAAAAAAAATAAATACTTTTTGAAGTTAAATCCGTTTTATCTTTCTCTAATTAATTCTT